TTGATAAGAGCATTAAAAGTGAAAATGTACATGAATCATTTTAAAATATCAAATTTAATGTATCATATTTTAAAAATTATAAAAAGTATGTCATTGTTAAACTAATAAAATATGCTCTATAAGTTAGTTGTCTGAACTTATTTGTATTACTAATTTTAAGTATTTAAGATATACATTTATATTTTCAAATTTATTTATACCATTATATATTTATTTATTTATTTTTCATTTTTCTTCTTATTTTTCTTTATTTTAAGGTTCCCATGACTTAGTCACGGGTACTATCTAGTAAATATTTAACACGAGTTCCTACAAGAAGGACCCCTCGCCATGATCAGTAATTGATGGAGTGATACCTGATAAGAGCAGTGCTAGGGGCACTCGCCTCCTGCACTCTCCGGCAAACACTTCCACTTTCATTGGGCCACGTAAGCTTGCTCCGGAGTTTTGGAACCCGACCTCTTTAGATCTAAATAACGTGGCCCAATTAAAATGATAAGGCAAAAATCAACATTTAACCTCTCATCTTACAAATTGGTAAGTTTTAATCCCTCATCTTATAACATGATATTTTAGGCTTTTTACCTTTACAAAGTTGGTAGGTTTTAGTCCCTCACCTTACAAAGTTGGTAGGTTTTAACTCCTCACCTTACATTATGATATTTTTAATCCCTCACCTATATGAATTGAAAAAAATAATCTTCACCTAACATCAGGTTATAATATTTTGTTAGTTTTGTTAGCTAACTGTTAACATTCGTTAGCATTCCGTTATAGAAAAACATGAAATTTAAATTCAATTTTATATGTTAGTTCCATTAACGGAATACTAACGGATATTAACAGTCAGCTAACAAAACTAACAGTAAGCTAACAGAGATGACTGTCAACTAACAGAACTAATAGAATATTATAATCTAATATTAAATAAGGGTTATTTTCTTCAATTCATACAGATAATCGACTAAAAGTGTTATAGTATAAGGTGAGGGACTAAAATCTATCAATTTTATAAGGTAATGAACTAAAATCGATCAACTTTATAAGGTAAAAGGTTAAAAGTATCATATTATAAAGTTAAGAATTAAAATTTATCAATTTTATAAGATGAAGAGTTAAAAATTGATTTTAACCTAATGATCATATGTAAAAGTAGGCATTAGACGTACGTCTTTCCACCCTCAATTTTAGTTTTCAGTCCTAACTCAAAAAGGTTGCAATCAATATTTAATATTTTGAAAAATCAAACATGAGATTAAATGCTCTATTTATATTAATTTTTAAGACATCTACAAAATTTTGAAGAACAAATGGTTGGATTAAAGTTGTGAATTCTATTAATTGAAGATCAAATAGCAGAGCTAAAATAAAGAGAAAAAAAGAGCAAGTACAAAATTAGTACATAAAAAGGTGAAATTTATTTGGCATATAAGAAAATTGACTATTTTTTAGCAAGAGGTAACGGAGAAGATTTTCCATCGGAAGAAGCTTCTTTAGGCAGAAAATGAAATTTGATTTGATGACTTTCCAAAATTTCCTTCAGCTTTAAGACTATCTTAGACCTTCGCTTTCTCTTCTTCCCGTAGTTCTGGAAGTTTATGGTGTGCCTAAAATAGACACCCAGCTTTATCTTGTTCACGTCATCAAAGTCCTCAACCACTACGCTGGGATCAGAATAACAATCATCGTGGGACTGCATGTAACTGAAATTTGAAAGTGTATGTAACATCAAGACCACATGAACATAACATGAAACTTTGATCAATATAAACTGGTAAATTTTGGCGGAATTAATTTACATACCCTTTGATATCTTTTCGAAGGGATCTTATTTGGTTTGCGTTTGTGGAAGCATCAACAGTGAATTCGATAGAATCAACAATGTTCTTGTCACTCCTGTAAAAGTTGCTAATGGGTTTTGTAGCCAAAACTGAATTTGGATAGTATACTTTCTCCCTGTCATCTTTTAAAAAGATTGTTGTATTTAGATTCATCTCATCAACAAGCAACTGCAGAAAAAAGATGTAAACATCTGATTATGTGATTATAAAAAGAAGAATTAATTTAAGTTATAGGATTAGTGATTGACTTCACCTGTTCTCCATCGATGACACAATAGTCATTGACATCAAAAGGGTGCACCACAAATACAAATATGATGGCTTCAAATACGGTCTTCAAAGTGTTACCAAACATGAATGTCAGAAGCAGAAGTTGAGAAGAAGTGAAGACAAGTGCTTCTATTGTTAAAATTCTCATTTGATATAACCAGAAAACGAGGATCACAATAGCTACAATCACATTAGCAAGCCTTTCGAGCTCTTCAATTGCGGTCTTGGAATCTGTCAAGCTTCGTGCCAACGAATTACGCTGGTTGTAAACTTTTTCCTGCAAGCAAGAAAACAAGTTAAATGAAATCAAGGTATTTGTATGGTTGTCCAGTAGAAAATGGGTCAGCAACTTTCATACACTATATTAAGTTTCTCTCTAACTAACATACTGGATTTAATGAGTTTATACATATTTAAACCATTTTACTTTCGCTCTACAGTCCTTGATGTGAGACTGTCTATACACTCACATATGAACACCCAAGAACAATCAATGTAGGGAAGCATTTGAAAAACTCTCTAAAAGAATTAAGCTGGTGCATGGAAGATATATAAAGAAAAACAGAAGAACTTGCCAGCCAATCCTCGAAATCAGAGTTGGTGATCTCTTCATTCTTAAACTGTTTTCGAAGAACTTGTTCAATGTCCTTATCATTATCAAAGTAGGACAAGAGATCATCCTTTGTTATGCTTTTCCTAGTCCATTCAAACAAAGAGAAATAATAGATTAGTTGCACTTTAAACCATGAGGGAAAAATAGTCAGACAAACACCCGAAAACTTATAATAAAAAAAAACTTACTTTCTCATAAAAATCAAATAACACAAAAACAGATGAAATAAACTTACTTTCTCATAGAGCTCTTTGACTTTTGGTGAATTAAATTGTTGAAAATCTGAATAGCAGCTTTATTTGCTGTATCAGCATCTGCAACAATTAACACTGAACCATTTGCGACTTTCATAAATCCATTAATGGTCCAGGCAGAGGCTTTCTTCATCCCCCCAAACTCAGAAATCCACTTGAAAATGACTGAATTGATCTTAGTTTGAGTCAAATGTCGCCTATTGAGCACCTCAATTATATGCTGATGAAGGATTGCTGCGCGAATCCTACGAAAGAATCTTTTACCTTGAAACTTAGAAGCTAATATCTTCACAAGAATAGCTTTTCCCAGCCATATAAGTGTCCCTAGAAGAGAAGAACAAAAAACTCTCCTAATCAAATTCACAATCCTTGTGGCTTTCTCTGATCTCTTAATTTGGTAAACATCAAACAACAAAACCCAAGTTAGAAGAACCAACAACACCCACATACAAAGCCAAACACTCTTCCGCACTCCATGAACAAAATACAGAACCTTCTCGCATCTAACAAGCTGCTTGACAAAGTTACTACACATGAAGAAAACTGCAATATTGATCATCCATCGGGTGAAAAGTCCACTGCAGAAGAAAACCAGCACAAGCACAAAACATTTCCATAATTCCGAACCCCAAATCACATGGTTTTTTAAGGGGTCTATGGTTAAGCTAGCAACTGTACATCCCGTACAGCAGACCAATACAACCCACTCAAATATGACTAACCACGTCCACTTATCCCAATTTGCGCTTTCATTACCAGCTTGGGTTTTTTCATCTTCCTCCTCATCTTCGACTACAGATTTCAAAGGAGTGGCATCTTTGTCCCTTTTTTGAGACTCGTTTAGGTTTGGACTTTCAATTTTGTCGGACAAAGGAGAAGTTGGAGAGGTCGATGATACGATTCTCTGTGTGAGATTTTCTTGAGAGGATCCTTTCTGGATTCCTGTTGAAAATGTGTCAGGGTGTTCTTCTGAGTTTGACATCGTTGGGTTTACAGGCATTGCGATCACGAAATCCTTTGGGCTGCTCTTCTCTGCCATGGCTTTCCGACTAGCTGTTCTATTTGGAAAGAAACAAGTATTATATATATATATAAGTACATTATTATTACATTATATAAAGTATATTATTTTGTTAAAAAATATTAATTACCGTATAATGTAACAGTAAATAAGTAGATGCATATAGTATAATAAATAAAAACAATATAATCACAAAATGACATGTCGTCTTCTTGTACATAACATGGCATATTCTACGCCTAGCATTTTCTTATAAACAAAAAGGAAGAAATATGAATTGGAATCTTTAGATAGTGTTTATGGCTTCAAATAGATCACCCATCATTCAAATAGCCTAATACTTCCATGTGATTGATGGATTGTTGTAGGTTAATAGGAAAAACATGAGAGGCAGAAGTAGAGAGCGAGAGACCAAGAAGCAAGGAAGACGAATAGCTTGGAGTTGGGATCACTACAATCATCAAGGTAGGGGCAGGGTTTTCCAACCAAACTAGAGAATAGACAGAGCTATATACAATCAATCTGTTCCGTTCTTCTTCACCAACTTCATGGAGGATTGGAACCATGAACAAATGTGGAGAGCTTTTAGTGGATATGGCAGAGTTATTGATATCTATGTACCAAACAGGAAGGACAGATATGGAAGACGGTTTAGGTTTGCCAGGTTTCAAGAGGTGAAAAACGTGAGTATGTTGGAGAAGGAGCTAGATCATATCAAAGTAGGAGGAGTCAAGATCCATGTAAATCAACCAAGGTTTGATAGACAAGCTAGAACACTGAAGGAAGGAGCTCAGAAAAGTGCAACTGAAACCATCAGATCTGAAGCAAGAAGGCAACCAAACTTGTCCTATGCAAATGTTCTCAAAGGATCAAGATGAACAGATTGGGGATTGCCCAGGCTACTGCTCCAGGGCAATTGAGGAACCACACAGGGAAATACATGAATGCCAACCATAGGGAGAAGGGAAAAAGGGAATGGGTAGCAAAAAGCAAAGATTATGAATGGCGTGGGAGGGAGTTCAGAGCTGAGGAGTCAAATTTTGAATGGGTGAAAGGTAGCTTCGTGGGAACAGCTCGAGCAATAGAGATTGTCCCAACAATTCAAGAAAAATTCTACATGGA